CACTACACTACAATAAGCTCATTGTATAACTACACTTTCTTTATCCCGACACATTACATTACAATAAGCTCTTTGTTTCAATACGCCGTCTTTATCCCGAAATACGGCATTATAAGGATATTGGGCTGTAATGTTACAAATAATTTCATAAGTCATATCGCCGACACCTAGACTTGGCACAAGATCACGTGACTTTCAAAGTCATTGGTAATAGTGCAGGGTTTTAATATTTTCTGTTAGTCAAGGATGCTTAAACTATTTTAAAAAAAACAATTACACTTTTCGAAGCTCAATATCTAGGACACTTTTTTCTTTTACTTCTGAACTTGGCGGCATATCATTAGCTGTTGAAAAAGTTCGTTTAATTTATACATTTGTAGACAATTAAAACTTTTGAACGTATTTTAAGCCTATACATAAATTGCACAGGTGGATAGTTCTCATATTTTTACAACTCAAGCGCAAAAGGTTAAATCGAGCTTAAACATTAAGTATAAAAACTAATCCAACACAACACTGATCCAACAAGAGACTAATCCAATAGGAAACCAATCCAACAAGACACTAATCCAACACAACATTAATCCAACACAACACAAATCCAACACAACACTTATCCAACACAAAACTAATCCAACACAACACTAATCCAACACAACACTAATCCAACACAACACTAATCCAACACATCACTAATCCAACAAGACACTAATCCAACAGAACACTAATCCAACACAACACTAATCCAACAGAACACTAATCCAACACATCACTACTCCAACAAGACACTAATCCAACACAACACTAATCCAACACAACACTAATCCAACACAACACTAATCCAGCACAACACTAATCCAACACAACACTAATCCAACAAGACACTTATCCAACACAACACTAATCCAACACAACACTAATCCAACACAACACTAATCCAACACAACACAAATCCAACACAACACTAATCCAACACAACACTAATCCAACACAACAATAATCCAACACAACACTAATCCAACACAACACTAATCCAACACAAAACTAATCCAACACATCACTAATCCAACAAGACACTAATCCAACACAACACTAATCAAACACAACACTAATCCAACACATCACTAATCCAACAAGACACTAATCCAACACGACACTAATCCAACACGACACTAATCCAACACAACACTAATCCAACACAACACTAATTCAACACGACACTAATCCAACACAACACTAATCCAACACAACACTAATCCAACACAACACTAATCCAACACAACACTAATCCAACAAGACACTAATCCAACACAACACTAATCCAACACAACACTAATCCAACACAACACTAATCCAACACGACACTAATCCAACAAGACACTAATCCAACACAACACTAATCCAACACGACACTAATCCAACACAACTCTAATCCACACCAAATTTAAAGTGGGAATTAATTTACAAGACATACGACAAGCATACAAGCACTCAGAATTAGATTTACAGGACATTGTTGTTCGTCCGTCAAACAAAATCGACTAGGACCATCCAGTCATACGGTCAGGGGGGGGCGGGGGGGGCGGTGGTTCACGGTGAGTTCGTAGGTGAGCTGCTAGTCTTATCCGTGCTTGGAATAATCTCTGGTACCGCGGACTTGGGATAGTTGCTGTAATCGATGATCTAAGGTTGCTTTTTCGGACTAGCCTGCGTGTCTCAGCTGTGCTTATCCTACTGGCTTCATTAGATTGTGCCCCATTCTTGACAGCTGCTCTCCATTTGGCTCTGTCCTGTGCTGTCTGTACCCACTCAATAGGGTTGTTGCTGAAGGCTTTTAGTGCCGCTTCCAGTGAGTCTTTGTAACGCTTTTTCAACCTCCTTGGGAGTGCTTGCCTATGCAAGAAGAATATCTGTTTAGGAAGCCGGTTATCTTGCTTACGGGCTACCTGTCCCATCCAACGGAGGTGAAACTGCATCAGGGTAGTGAAGATACTAGGTAGGTTTGCTCTAGCGGGGACCTCCGTGTCAGGCACTTTGTCTTGCCACCTGATGCCGAGGAGTTTCCTGAGCAAGGTTTTGTGAAAGAGGTTCAGTTTCTTGGCATGACGCTGGTAGACTGTCCACGTTTCACGTCCGTTGAGTAATGTGGAGAGGACTGCTGCGCTATAGACCTTGATCTTCGTGTCTCGTCTGTTAGAGCTGCGGAGTCTACCAAATATGGCATTAGCTTTTCCGAGTCTACATTCATTTCAACATCCATGACGACTAATCTGGAGAGGGTGCTGCCCAAGAAAGTAAATTTATCCACTGGGTTGAGACGCTGTCCGCTGATAATGATGTTGGGTTCAGCGTAGGGCTTACTGGGAGCTGGCTGATACATCACCCCAGTCTTCTTTGTGTTGATTGTGAGGCCTAAGTTATTACAGGCCTCAGAGAAGATATCAACGCTGTGTTGCATGACGGCCTGCGGGGCAGCGTTGAGGGCACAATCGTCCACAATAAGTCTCAGTTTGCCCTAACAATACAGTCAACATGACATCACAGGCTTGATGGCACCACAGGCTTGATGGCACCACAGGCTTGATGGCACCACAGGCTTGATGGCACCACAGGCTTGATGGCACCACAGGCTTGATGGCACCACAGGCTTGATGGCACCACAGGCTTGATGTCACCACTGGCTTGATGGCACCACAGGCTTGATGGCAGCACAGGCTTGCTGGCACCACAGGCTTGATGGCATCACAGGCTTGATGGCACCACAGGCTTGATGGCACCACAGGCTTGATGGCACCACTGGCTTGATGGCACCACAGGCTTGATGGCATCACAGGCTTGATGGCATCACGGGCTTGATGGCACCACAGGCTTGATGGCACCACAGGCTTGATGGCATCACAGGCTTGATGGCATCACGGGCTTGATGGCATCACAGGCTTGATGGCACCACAGGTGACAGGCATTTGAAAAAATCATTTATATTAACTTCGCTTTGGTTGTGTCTTTGTTTCTTTCTGTCTGGGTGGGTGGAAAATTCCTTGGACGATTAATTGACCCACTTTCCGTCAACCTAAAAAGATGAAACTTGGCACATAGACGTGTTACCAAGACAACATATTCTGTCAAATTTTCAGCAAACCACCCCACCTCCCCACCGCAACCCCTACCACCAAAAATTAATGGCTCCTGTTTTTCAAGGGGAAAAGTTCGGAAATATGATGCCACTGTCTTTACGAAATAAAATTCCCGATAAAAGATGTCAATGAGATTTTTTGTGTGTTAATGTTGCAAGTGTGATTGGTGCAAGTGTGATTGGTGCAAGTGTGATTGGTGCAAGTGTGATTGGTGCAAGTGTGATTGGTGCAAGTGTGATTAGTGCAAGTGTGATTGGTGCAAGTGTGATTGGTGCAAGTGTGATTGGTGCAAGTGTGATTGGTGCGTAATAATTTTTTTTCTTCAGAAATGGTGAATAAATCTGTGGTGTGAAAGTGGTTGTTGTTAAAGTAATAATAGAGTTCAGGGGCGTGGGAAAATGTGCGGCTGCGAGTCTTCGGGTGGAGGGGGGGGTGCACTTATTGGGATTTTTATAACGTGCGTTACTTGAATGCATGTTTTGATAAATTTTCAGCCTCCCACCCCCCCCCCCCCAAACATTGATGGATTTTTCCATTTTTTAAAGGATTTATATTGAAAAACTTTTTTATTTTGGGGGGGATTGTTTAACTTCACTTTTGACCCACTTTGGGGGGGGGGGGGGGGTCTCTTATTGGGATTTTTATAACGTGCGTTACTTGAATGCATGGTTTGATAAATTTTCAGCCCCCCACCCCCCCCCCCCCAAACATTGATGGATTTTTCCATTTTTTAAAGGATTTATATTGAAAAACTTTTTTATTTTGGGGGGGATTGTTTAACTTCACTTTTGACCCACTTCCCGTCAACCTAACGAATTGACATTGACACATAGACTTGTTGCCGATGCCAACACATCTATCAAACATTCAGCCCCACCCTCACCCATCCCCCAAATATCAGCTTTTCCTGTTTTTCAAGGGGAACATAAAGGAAATTGGATGACGCTGATTTCACGAAAGAAAATTGTTGGTGTAATCAATCTGCAGTGTAAGGGCGGGCGGGCGGGACATTACTGTATTAATTTTAAATATAAGAAATAAAAAATGCATTTAAATATTTATTTTAAGGGTTGTTTTCTTAGATTTGAATTACAAAACTTAATTACAAAACATGATTACAAAACTTAATTACAAAACATAATTACAAAACATAATTCAAAAGATAATTTCAAAAGTACTATGAGAGAATTAATATATTAATTAAATTTTTGTAATATTTCTAATGCATGTTATTCTAGCACCTAATTTTATAACAATAGTTAATTACAATTTCAATAATTATTCTGTAAATATTTTATATTTTCTACATGTTTTAAAATTTGTGTTTGGTAATTTAATTTTTGCATGTAAATCGGTTTACCAGTATGTCAATAAAATTTTGTTAAAACATATACTTATTTATCATGAAAGTTAAATCATTATGTATGTATTTATCATGTACGATGAAGTTGTACTTTATTCAAGTTTCGTTTAATTATTAATTCATTTATTAAAGACAAATAAACATTTTGTTAGTTAAAAACAAAAAAAAATAATTTTTTATCAAGATTAGAGGAGGATATCTTCGACAAAGGTCACAACCCTAACCCAAGCCTCTCCCGGCGGTGACCCCCTCACCTCTTACCCCCTCTCTCGGAGCAGCTTGTATCACTTGTTTCTGTTATATTTGTGCACTTTGACCGGAAGTATTTTTTCAACCTTTTAAGCTTGGGCCCAAAAGAAAGCGTTGGTTCAAAAACCCGTAAGGACTAGAACTACTCTGTAAAGCTGTTAGGTCAAACTTTACGTTATTTCCGTCAGAATGATGCTATTTATAGAACTTGACATTACCGACGTCCTCAAAGATGTAAAATTTCTAATTTTTCCATTTCAGCTGAAGTCCATTTTGAGCAGAAGAGGACACGTCAGACCTACACACGATACCAGACGTTGGAGCTGGAGAAAGAATTCCACTTTAATCGCTACTTGACTAGACGGCGGCGCATTGAGATCGCTCACATGCTAGGTCTCACGGAACGGCAGATCAAAATCTGGTTTCAGAACCGACGGATGAAATGGAAGAAAGAAAATAACCTTAGCAAATTAACCGGTCCGGATAAGCCAATCAAAGAAGAGTGTGGGAACCCACGTGACTGCCCCACCGTTAAACACGAAGACTGCTCTTCGCTAGATTCTCAATGATAAAGTGCTACACACTGATTGCTCTTCTTTAGATTCTCAGCTATAAAGTGCTACAAGGCTGAACACATTGATTGCTCTGCTTCAGATTATCAATGATAAAGTGCTGCTACAAAGCTCAACACACAGATTTCTTACATTGCTTCATGGAAACAAAGCTTTGGATAACAGGATTAAAAATACAATATCTCCCCTACCCACCTATGGGGTGGTGTTTCCGCACCTATGGGGTGGTGTTTTCCATCCTATGTGGTGGTGTTTTCCCTCCTATTTGGTGGTGTTTCCGCACCTAATCTGGTGGTGTTTCCCCAGTAAGCAGATAAGATAGAAATGAAAGATCGGCTCTGAAGCTTCGTACCACTGTGCCAGTGAACATGAAATGACAGTGGCCACCGGGTTGGTAGTTCCATTATTTAATCTGGCCTATTTATGTAAGGATTTCTCCTACAAACATTGCAGTGTGTTGCGTCATTGATGGATTGAGTGTGCGAGATGCACCACAAGTCTGCATGTGTCAACGGAAGAGGGATGAGTTGTCAAGGCGCATGCGTACTGCTTATCGACAGTGGCTAACTTTATGAACGGTTATTTGTATTTCTCTTTTCTAGAGAGTGCTGCTTTCAATAGTCCAACCTCTTGACCTGGTCAACTTTCAATAGTCCAACCTCTTGACCTGGTCAACTTTCAATAGTCCAACCTCTTGACCTGGTCAACTTTCAATAGTCCAACCTCTTGACCTGGTCAACTTTCAATAGTCCAACCTCTTGACCTGGTCAACTTTCAATAGTCCAACCTCTTGACCTGGTCAACTTTCAATAGTCCAACCTCTTGACCTGGTCAACTTTCAATAGTCCAACCTCTTGACCTGGTCAACTTTCAATAGTCCAACCTCTTGACCTGGTCAACATTTATGTGAATAAATATGTATTTGAGAAACTAGGAAAACGTACATAATTCTCTGGCTCAAGATAGAGTTGTAATACCAATGGGTCGTTTATTGTTGCAGTAATGATATTTACTTGTATTAAATGAATGTATGAAATCAATGTCTAATTAAAAAAATCTTTGAAAATCCAGTGTACATAAGCAATGAGATATTTTAGATTTTGTATGCATAAATTTGACTTTAACTTAAAAGTCATCTAGTGATTGAATATCTGATTAATTTCTAATATTCAATTTGCACTTTTAACTTTTCAATGTACATATGAAGGTGGTTGAATATGTTTATATAAATCAGTGTTCAATTTTGGCGTCACAAAAATGATAAAAGCATAAATTGAAAGCCACATGAAGTATTCCAATTATTCCAAAATATTGGCACATAAGTTTTGGCCCTTACATGGGCCTCTCATGGACTCTAAATCTCCTTAAGGAAGGTATGTCATTAAGTCAAAGTGGAAGTGTCGCCGATGATGGTATATTTGGGCATTTGCTGATTATGATAAATTTGGGCATTTGCTGATGAGGGTATATTTGGGCATTTACTGATGAGGGTAAATTTGGACATTGACTGATGAGGGTAAATTTGGGTATTGGCTGATGATGGTATATTTGGGCATTGGCTGATGAGGGTAAATTTTGGCATTGGCGAATGGCTTTATCCATGATAATAGTTAACATAATGTGAATATAACGTGCATAGAAGGTGCATATAATGAGCATGATTTAATATAATGATCTGCATTACGACCCATATTATAAATTGACCAAAGGAGTTGTGATGGGATGTGCGTGATTATTGGAGGTTCATTGGAAGGGCGGGCAGGGGGGGTGGGTTTGCGGGAGAGGGGGGGTGGGATTACTTGCGTCAACAAGATAGTTTTATAAGGATACTTCATTACAGTGCATTCACTTTCTTATAAACACTGCAGGTGTCTTCTTACAGGCACTACATGTGCTTACTTACAGCTACAACAGGTGCTATCTTAAAGACGCTATGGGTACTTTCATGAAGTTACAAAAAATAACTCCTTACAAGCACTTCAGTTACTTCCATACATGTACTACAGGCCCTGCTTACAGGACTTAGGGGCGATTTTTACAGGTACTACAGGCAATTTCATTCAGGTGCTTAAGGTCCTGTCTTGCAGGTACTAGAGTGACTTGCTTACAGGTCATTTTGAGACTGTCATGAATTATGAGCAATATTAAGTGTACTTGTGGCACTCAGTTAAACAGTTTTTAAGGCTTCTAATATCATTGAATTGTGTCCATGTATTTAATGTGAGAACCACTGTAAGAAGCCCATCAGTTGCACAATAAGTCATGGTGATTCTACTAGCTGTATCTGTGTTCTAAAACTTCACTAGTCAATTCAAAAGTAACCATGAAAACTATTAAAGAGACATCGTCACAACATTTGGTTGTGTTTGTATATTCTTATCTCCATTTGTTTCTCCGGTGTGAGTGTTTTCTGTTTCCCTACATACGAGTGTTTAATATAATCAACAAGATCATAGTATTCCTCTTGGCAAAATCTTCGGACGGCTAATCAACCCATTTGCCGTCATTTTATCGAAATGAAACTTGGCACATAGACTGGTTGCCAATGACAACACATTCGATCAAATATTTAGCCCCCCTCCCAACTCCCCAAACTCACTTCTTCCTATTTTTCAATGTGGGGATGAATGAAACATGATTTGTGCAAAGGTTGCAGGTTTCTGTGGGAAGATTAATTGTGCAGCTCTTGCTATGTGCTTTGTATTTGTGACGTATTTGGGTATGTAGTAAAATGAAATGTAATTTTGATGGTAAAATGTAAAACGTTTTTTCGCCAGAAGTTGACCCATTTACACAACTGCTTTATAATAAATAGAGTTATAAATCACGTACAGTTAAATAAATGAAATCAAAAATACATAGAAAGTATTTATACATAAAACTTTGTTTTTAAGGTTTATTCCATTCAAAGTAAGGTCTAAACTTGGAATGTTATGGGAAGTTATCGTTGTCTCCTTGTTTTGGTCTAAAACTTTTAGAGCACTAAAATGTCAACGGGGTGCACGCTATAGATAGATAGCCACCGCGTGCACATGACAAAAAATAGATAGCCATGGCGTGCACATGACTTAAATAGATACACACGGCGTGCACATGACCAAAAATAGACAGGCACCCAGAGAACATGCTATAAATAGAAAGACTCGCAACGGGAAAGCAAGTCAAGTATCAACGCCATTGTGTAAGGACAAATCTATTTGCAATGTGACATTGATATAAAATATGACATCAAAAATAGTTTTCTAATGAATGTGACATTAGTATAAATATAACATCACAATATTTTTCAAATGAATGTGGACATATTCTTATGTTAGTGATCTATATCATGTTTACATTTGTTAATAGATTCATAAGTATTACCAATAGTGGCTCCTGCGACACCGGTAACCTAAGACCACACGAGTGGGTCATCAGATGGGTAATCTAAGACCTCGAGGGTAGGTCGGCAGATGGGTAATCTTAGACCCTGCGAGTAGGTCACAAGATAGGTGACCGAAGACCTCACGAGTAGGTCACCATATGGATAACCTAGGACCTCAAATAAGTAGGTCAGAATCTGATTTGACACGTTTCAATATTTTTAGTATTTATTCAATTCTTTTGTACTTTGAAGAAACAACAAAATGATGTTCTCTTGACTACACTTTTAGCCACATGTTATGGTCAATTTAATCTCTATTTTTATCTATGTATGGGAGACAATTCGTTATAACTCAAACTAAATCAAGGGGAAGAACTAACTTTACATTACATCAATTGTTGAATTTTGTTATAATTTTGAATTAACATTTTGTATGCATTATATTTTGACTTTAAAATTAGCTATGGAGAATAGCCTAGATCATTAAGTCTAATTTGATTGTCCTTTAGGACACTTTGAGCTGCCAAAGATGTGTTTATTAAAAGGTATTAAGACAGAAGACACATTAAGTCGGAGGGACACATTAAGTCGGAGGGACACATTAAGTCGGAGGGACACATTAAGTCGGAGGGACACATTAAGTCGGAGGGACACATTAAGTCGGAGGGACACATTAAGTCGGAGGGACACATTAAGTCGGAGGGACATATTCAAGCAGAGGGCTAGATTAATATAGAGGGCCACACTTAGACAGAAGGTCACATTAAGTCGGAGGGACATATTCAAGCAGAGGGCTAGATTAATATAGAGGGCCACACTTAGACAGAAGGTCACATTAAGTCGGAGGGACATATTCAAGCAGAGGGCTAGATTAATATAGAGGGCCACACTTAGACAGAAGGTCACATTAAGATAGAGGGCCACATTAATACAGAGGTAATAATTAAGACAGAGGGTCAGATAAAGGCAACTGGCCACATTAAGATAGAGGGCCACATTAATACAGAGGAACTCATTAAGACAGTGGGCCAGATAAAAGCAAAGAGACACATTAAGACAGAGGTATTCATTAAGATCGAAGGACAGATTAAGACGAGGGTCACATTAAGACAGAGGTACTCATTAAGACAGACGGCCAGATAAAGATAAAGGGACACATTAAGACAGAGGGTCACATTAAGACAGATAGACAGATTAAGATAGAGGGCCAAATTAAGACAGAGGTACTCATTAAGACAGATATACAGATTAAGACAGATAGACAGATTAAGACAAAGGGCCACATTAAGACAGAGATACTCATTAAGACAGATGGACAGATTAAGAAAGAGGGCCACATTAAGACAGAGGTACTAATTAAGACAGATGAACAGATTAAGACAGATGGACACATTAATACAGCAGGACACATTTAAAATTGAGCTGATTTTTTTTTTTTTTTTAGTTTAAATTNGTTCCAAATTCTTGACCCATTTTGGGGGGGAGGGGGGGTCGTCACGAAATTGTGACTATATGTGAGATAAAAGTGTCTGATTCCAGTTCCAAATTCTTGACCCATTTTGGGGGGGAGGGGGGGTCGTCACGA